ATCTAATACAATACTCAATACCAATACTTTTATCCTTGACAGTAACCATATCCAAAAGAAATATCAATGGTAATATGCCCATTTTCATCATTTTGATAGTTTTTAATTGGGCAAATTTCTTAAACTACCCCTACTGTTTAGCTAATTGCCAAACTATACCCCTACTATTTAACTATTGTCTTAAAGTACCCTCTCAAGTTTTTTGACAATTGTCATCACCATTAAATATTGATGGAAAAAAAAATATCAAATTTACCCTCAATTATTTCTCAAATTTTTCTAAATAAAACCCAACTGATGACCGACCCATTTTCTAGACAAAGGAGACATGGAAGTTTTAGCAAAACAGGGGATCTTCCTCTAGTTCATTCTTAGGTTTTATAGGGCAATTATCCAAGGGTGAAGCAAGCGAAACAGTGATTGAGTTGTAGATCCAGTAGGAGTTGGAACTGAGAAGAATATGGAAGGTTTCTCATTGGAGATCTTCCACATAGAGAGAGAGAGAGAGAGAGAACAATTGGGGTAAATGTTTATTGGGACCACATCGAGTTTGAGGGATGAGGCTCTCTTCTTCCTAGAAAGCCACAATTGGAATTCATAGATATGGAGTAGTAACAAAACCAGTGGTCGTGAAGAAGAGGAAGAAAATTTTAGAGAAATGTGAGGAGAGAAGAACCGGTGGTCGTGAACAGTAACAGAATGACGAAGAGTTGAAGCGATTTGGAGATGGAATAATTGCGGTAGAAAACCTATGTTATGAGAAAACCTCTCTCTCGAATTGTACTCCCCCTTTCTTGTTTCTTGTTCGTCATGGCAGTCAACCATTTCGAGATGCCTAAGATAGATAGTCTCTACTTACTTAGAGACCACCAACAACAACAACAGCAGCAGCAACAGCTAGGGGTGGCAATGAGCCGAGCTTTTCACGAGCTGCTTAAGCTCAACTCGTGAAAAGCTCGAGTCGGCTCGGTTTCTACCGAGCTTCGAGCCAAGCTCGAGCCCAATTCATTGGCTCGATTACGAAACGAGCCAAGCTTGAGCCTATTGGAGCTCGACTCGTGAGGCTCGCGAATCGGCTTGTATATATATATATATAATAAAATTATAGAAAATAATATATATAATAAAATATTATAATTCTTAATTTTTTAAATATCAAGTAAAAATATTTTTATATATAATTTTTTTTTACTTTTATAAAACATTTTTTTCTCAAAATCAAGCTCAAGCTTATGAATTTTTTACTCGAGCCAAGCTCGAGCTCAAGGTTCTGGCTCGAACCAAGCTCGAGCCTTGTAGAACAGTCTCGAACTGAGCTCGAGCCTTGTACTATTCAGCTCAACTTGGCCTGAATCCTCCCCTAGCAACAGCTTCGATAACATCAACTACCCCATTAATCGCTACAACTCCATTATCAAATTGAAGCTGGTGGACAATGGAGTTGTTGAACCCTTTTTCATAAGCATTTCATAATTGTTGTTGGTTCCCATCGATTGTTGCTGATTTTTCAGAGATCCCCTTCTCTCTCGCCATTAGTTCCCACTGATTTTTAATTAAGGTTACCCATGTCTTCCCGGGACAAGAAACGCTCGAAGCCCTCCAATAGTCACGCCGGTGGCATCTATACACTTGCTGCTCTGAATCATTCTTCTAGTCCTAGCTCTAACGATGATTCAAATGGTCCCCATGAATACTACACCGACACCAAGAAAAGATACCAATGGTCCCCGCTCCCAGCACATGTCCCTGTCACCATGGCAGTCTCAGCCGAAACTCGACAACAACAAGAAGAATGACCTAGAGACAAGGTACCAGAAGACCTTCATAAATTTGTTTGAAGGTTGCAGTGGAATCAAGTTGTGGTAGGTTGGAAACAATGGAGATCTCCCTCATCAAGAAGTCAGGTTGTGATAGGTTGGAAACATCGGAGATCTTCCTCAGCAAGGAGCCAGGCTATGGTATGTTGGAAAGAGTTTGTTCTTGTTTGTCTGAGATATTTGTTTCTCCGTTCTCCATACAAAAGGGTATTATTGTCATTTCCCCAAAATATAATAGTCATGTAGTGTGGCATGTGATCAATTTGTGACAGATTGTGATGGAATCTTAATTGTAGGAGAGTACTTAGTCAATTATGAGAAAACTTGAGGGTACTTTAAGATGATAGCTCGACAATAAGAATACAGTTTGTCAATTAGCTAAATAATAAGAATAATTTATGAAATTTACCCTTTTTAATTTAAGTCTACTGAATATTTTGTAATTCACTTTTATTTTGTCAAACCCATTAACAAAGTAGGGAAAAGTGATGTTCAAGGGGGCTTTGTTGCAAAACAAAGTTGAGCAGAGGGCACAAATGTAACCAACCCTAAGTACAGGGTGGCAGTCATAATTTACCAAAAGAAAAATTAGACTATCCATGCATGGTTCTGCGGTGTTGTTTTTTCCATTTAGCCTTGAGCCCTCCATGTAAATGCCATGCAGGCATTTTGACTTTCTCATCCAATAAAGTTTGATTGAATAGATTCAAAGTACAAATGTTCGTACTACCTCTTACATCTGACAATATGCATAGGGTGTTTGACGAAATGCCAAAACGGTATTTTAATTTTAGGTTGTCTTACGTGGTATTCGTGTCACTTAGTGGCGCCTAAGTGTTTGAAGTCACAATAAAAAAAAAGGTGTATTATGCTATGTTCCAAAGTATTTTACTTTTCCGATTTCCAATGCTAAAATCAAATACAAACATTGAAATTTAAAACGCCAATAGTATCAGATACCATCTCCTCCCCCGGCCTAACCTATTACGTTGGGGTGGATGCCAGATTGGAATTGATGCAAATTTATGGGCGAGAATTGATGTATAAAGTGTGTGTGGGGGGGAGGGGGGGGGGGTTAGACATTTAAAATGTTTATAATTTACAGTAAAACTCAGAAATCTACACTAGGCCTGTTTCTATTTTTTCATTATTTTATTTTACGACATGCGATGTGGTAGTCGGTGGGGCTCAAGCTTTCAATCCTCTAGAATAAAACACGTGACATGATTGGAGAAGTGGGGACACTCTGATGCCTAACCATGGTTATTGGCCCCCGAAATTAAAGGGAGAGAGTGAATGAACAGAGCTAAAGAGAAATTAATCATGGAGTACCCAGATCGTTTAAAAAACAAAAGAGGCAGAAGAATGTAGGCTTGCAAATCTTTAGCTTCACAAGGCCTTTATCAATTTCCTTTCTTTTGAGTGCAATTAGTGGGAAGTGGGAACATTTGTTTTGATCTTTTTATAAAGAAGAATATAGCATAGGATCCGAGGCTTTAATTAGTGTGGATGTGGGAAGTAATGCACATTGAACTACGACCCTTTAATCCAAATGTTGGCCAATAACCATCAGGACAGGACTTCTGGAAAAGAGGATACGGATTAGCAGCTACAAACTAGTCTGGATTAAAGAAATAGGTTGGTCCCAATGGACCGTGGTGGTCTAGAAAATAGGTTAAGAATATAAACTATTTCATGAACAGTAGGAATAATAATAATAATTGGCTACATTTATTTTTTTTCTGTAAAATGAAAGTAAAATGTTTCAAGCTGAAATATTTGTCATCATTTCTGCTCCTTTCACAGTGAAAACTTTTTTTCCTACCCCTTCTATTCTCTTTTAGCCTTTTTGGATGTGAATGGCCAACAACAAAGTTTCTAACTTTCTATTACTTCTAGTAATAGAGATTAATATAGCTCAAATATTTCAGCCTAATAAATTTTTTGCCTTTCAGAGAAATAAATCAAGTAGCAAGTAGGAGGAGGGCAATATCCAAGGTAAAGAGGTTCAGCATGGAGAATGTCATATACCAATTAGAAACCAACATTTTGTTTGACATTGTAGGTTGGTATTCTTGTCTACAGTCTACATATTTTCTTTTCTTTTTTTCATTCTTTAACAAGGGCGTAATTCAGAGAGCTAACATACCAATTTGTGGCTAAACCCAATCCATTGTATCCTTTGGGTTGATAATTCTGTTGTTAGACCACCAGGGGGATTAAATTAGCGGACTTCTTTTATTTCCTTGTTTTTCTAGTCTCCCAATGCAAGCTAAGGTTAAAACAACAGAAAAAAAAAATGAAGGAGAATGAAGATTTCAAAGCTTGTTCTGAAGAGAGTATCAACGTTCACAATTGGGCCAGACCCACATGGATACATTTTACCTTGCCTGGGACCAAACCCTGTCTTAGCTTCTTACCACCAGAAAGATTAAAATTAGTGACTTCTTTACTTTTCTTTCTTTCTTTTTTCTAATCTCTTCAGGCTAAGTAAGGCTCAAAAAACAGAGACAAATAAATCAAGCTAAGTAGGGTTACAATTAAAGTGGGTTTCTTACTGGGCAATACATGCAATCTAATCCAATTTAACCTGATCTGCACAGGTCAACTGATGCCTCATCTTGGGTCAGACAGACTAAGGTAGAGTTATTTGGCCATGAATCAAACTAACACAAGAAAACAAGAATCTAACAACACCTGTAGAAACCAATGCTTTACCAAATAAATTGTTAAAAGAATAATCATCCACCACAATCGTTTGGGCTTCAATTCTATCTGGTTGGAAGGCCTCAACCTAGCAGTCTAGCACAACCCCACCTACTGTTGGGTTGGACATTGGAATTCCCTGGTCCAGCTTGCACATCTAGCAGCCATGAATACTTAAAGCTGCAACAGTAAGGTGAATAGTTAATTCCCTCCATGAGTTGACTCAGTATGGAGTTGTTAAATTCTCAGAATGTTAATTTATTTGATTTTTGTGATCATGGGCTCATGGCATCTCCTTACATAAGCAAACCCATCAATCAAACCAAATAAAATAAAGTCCTTAATTTGACTAGATCATATTTCTTCATCCACAATCTTGCCTTCCCATAAAGTCATATTCCTTGGCATGAACTTCTCAACCAATTCAAAAGAAGAGATCAAATGACAGAAAGGGAGAGTTGATAAAAGATATGCAGAACCAATTGATCTCCAATTCTTATTAAAGCTCCAATAAGGATACATCTTTATTACATGGAGGAGATTGTCATTCTCTGGACCAAAGAAACCAAACCAGATAAAGCAATCAAAAGGGTATTTACAACTCAATCTAGCAGAAAATGGGTCAACCATAACTCAATGGAAATCCAGGAACAGAGAGACTAAGACCTCTCTAAACAATGAAGAGAGTTTGTTGTTGCTCATTCTCCATGGTTATTCCTAGAGACCAATTTAGTTCAATTCAATTCAAATTTCAATGAGACGATATTTTCAGGTTCAAGGACCTGTGAAGCCATGCCTTCCATCTGCTACTCCCCTTCCTTGCAATTATGTTTCCTTTCGTCGCCTCCAGCTGCCGCTGCGGCTTCTTGAAAAGCACGAAATTCCTTCCGCCGCGAGATCCAATGGTTTCCCAATGACTTAAAGCTGCAACACAGAAATCCACATTCAAAACAAAGAAAAAAGAAAACCCAAATGTAATTCAATTGGGAAAAAAAAAATGGAATTTTAATTGGGAATGGTCTATTACCATCGGTTCCGGCATTAGCGGAGTAGAGGCGGAAGTTGTTGAGATCGGAGCCAAGAACGGGGAGACGACCCTCGCGAGCGTAGGACTTAAGAGTGGTGTCGATAACCGCCGCGACAAGCTCATCCTCATTGACGAGGAACCGGAGCGGTCCGGCGCTGCCCAAGACATTGACGGTAATCAGGAGGCGGTTGCCTTTGCTGCTGTGAGGATTCTTCTTCTGCTTATGGAGCAACATCTGCATTTTTTAATTGCCTTTCAATGATTCCTCTCGTCGAAAGATGAAAACCAACCAAGAGAACAGGAGGATCAAAGCGAAGAAATTGATTTCAATCGAAAGAATCAAAAAGAAAGAGATGGGTAGGATGAGAGAAGGCGGTGAGGAAGGAAAAAGGAGGAAAGTTATTGGTTCAGGGATCCACGCCGAGGCAGCGGTAGTACCAGCCTTCCTTGCAGGAGCCAAAGGAGAAAGAGAGGAGGTGGTGAAGGTGAAGGAAGCAGAGGATGGAGTCGCTCGAGGAGGATAACTGCGCGGATTGGGTTCGCGCGGTTGCCCTCGCAGAGGAAGAGAAAAGCATTAAATTACTTATTGTTTCAACCATTCACAATCGCCAGGGACTGAGTTGTTTCGGAGCAGATCGATTTACAAAGTTACGAGCTCAAGAGAGAAGAAGAAGAAGAAGAAGAAGAAGAAGGCAGAAGAAAGAAGAAGAAGAAAAATAGGAGGAGGAGGAGGAGGAGGAGGAGGAGGAGGAAGGAAGGAGGCTGGTGCCGCTCTCTTCAGCCTGCGCCTTCATATAAATTTGTTTCCGTTGTTGGTTAGGATTTCAACTAGCTAATCACCCGTACGGAATACGGAGGCAACTAGAATTTGTGGGAAAGGGATGTCAGATCAGAATTGACAATGAGCTTTTGTTATACTTGGACCAGTGTTTTCAATCTTTCATTGGTCCAACCACTTGGATCACTGATCCAGTGACTCTCGGATCATTCTAAATCGGCTCGGTTCAACCAATCCGTTATCTCACAAAAATCATAATGGGGTATAGACCGAGTAAAATCAAAGCAAATCAGCTCATATTCAAATTTCAAATTCGAATTGACTCAATATTCAAATATTTACATTCGAATATAATTTGATCAATTAAATCAAACATATAGATTAATTGTTTTGTTTTACAATTATACCTTTAGAAAATTAAAAAAAAAAATGATCTATAATATAATTTTATTAAAGAGAAATAAAGGACATTTAGATCATCTCACACGTGTGTATTATTAATGTTATGGATCAAATCTAATCAGCTCGTATTGGAATTTGATCTAATTACATCTAACCGGAGCAAGGGATGTGGCTTCAAAATATATAAATAAGTAGTGTAATTGTGTAAGGGCAGTTGTATTCGAATAATCTGAATTCAATTTAATTATATCAAATCTTGAATATAAAATCACATTGCTGATCAACAAAAAAAAATCTCATATTTTGGATACCATTGACACCTTCAATGAATTTTACTATTCCAAAAAAGAATGGAAATTTCCAACCAAGTGGTTTTAACACCTTATAGCTTCCTCTACATAAAATTTGGAAGTTTTAACTTAGCCGGTATTTGGAACCAATTTCAGACAATACTAAAACATTTTCTTAGATCATGCTTTGGAAGTTGAGAAAGGTGTGGTATGAAAAAGCATCATTCTTGGTGTTTATTTGTCTTTTTGTTATCAATAATACGCTGACATGGCATTGAAAAACGCCTATATAAAAAAGACTTGATCTTCTCCTCAATCCTCACACATGGTGCCTCACACCATCTCACCTGCATTGGGACCATTTCCTATACTTACAGGGAGATATTCCCAAATCCAATGTGCCTGTGAGGGTGTTATGAGGCGCACTGTGTGAGGAACAGATCCCAACAACAACAACAATGGTCCCAAAGAAAAAAATAATAATAATTTTTGAAAAAACAGCAATAGTAAAATACCTCTAAAAAAAGCATTAATTCAAAACACTTACCTAGATTTTCCAAGGACCAAATTCCGTTAGTTCCCTGATATTAGAATTCAGCAATGTTGTTTGGACTTTGGACCGGATTACTGAAAGCAAAAGCTGCACACAATCCGTTGAATCTTAGTCGCACGTTGGGAATATCTCCCATGAATTTAACATACATACGGTGGACTTAAATATATCATACATTCATACGTCACTAAAATGTTAAAAACTGTTAACATGTATGTGATCTCACGTGACCCATTTAAATTTAAATTTAAAAAAATAAAATAAAATAAAATCCTATTTTATTTGAAATACTTTGAAGTTCATTTTTCTCCTACAACCCATGTCACGTGAGTGGTATCTCAACTTAAAAAAAAAAAAAAAGGGTGTGGGTGGTTGTACTTAATTAAGTTGTTATTATACCAAATGGTGTATCCCATGATTCATTCCTTAAACCTAATCCGAGACTATTGAAAACTTGAAAGCATTAAAGGATTCAAGTTGCTGTAATTTTTAGAAAAAGGATTAGGATCAGTTTTTAATTTTTTTTTCACCGACGACGAAACAAAATAGGAAATGCAAAATGGGATTAATTAGCAAATCCAATTACACAAGTAAGGAAGAAAGAGACGTTGATTTGCCCTTGGCATTGACATTGGGAGTTTGGTATATCCCATTAATCTGTCCAAGTAGAATCAAACTAACTTTTGACTCTAGCTAGTAAATTCATTTAATCCCACAGGAACGGGTCAAATTGCCATCTACTTCAAGGCAAAGACAATTTGGTTAGAGAAGTCAATGGGTCAAGTGTGGTTCAAGATGAGCAATATTTGTCCCAAATTGGTCATTTAATGGGTTCCATATAACAAGACCTAGAACCGTCCATCAACCGAAATAAATGGGTCTGACCTAATTAGACCATATGTTGATAAAAGAAGTGTTTTTAACCAAAATTATCTTATATGCAATATATAGAATTCATCCTTTTGTGCATGAAATATAACAAAAATTATAAGAAAACCAGGAGGCATTTATAGATTATTAGTTATATAACCAGTACAAGTCTGAATTGGTTGAGAACAGCAAGAATTTGTCCTGGCCCAATTATTGATGAGGACAAAACCACAGAACCAGAAATTACATAATTAAGGCTATGTTTGGCCGGGAGTGCTTAGGTTAAAAATAAGTACTTAAAAACAAGTGCTTGTTTGAATAGGCACTTATTTGCATTTGGCACCCAATTTTTCCAAGTGCTTATTTTTTAAAACAAGCACTTATTTTATATTGGAGGTTTGGTATTTTTTCTCTTTAATAAGCGGTTAAATAAAAATTTGTAACTATTGTGTCTTTCATTTTCTTTCAAATTTTTAAAATATATCCTTTAAAAGCAATTTTATAAAAATACTTTTACAAAAGCACTTTTAAGAAAGTACTCTTACGAAAGTACTTTTGTGAAATACTTTTATAAAAGTGCTTTCATAAAAGTACTTTCGTAAAAGTACTTTCTTAAAAGTGCTTTCCTAAAAGTACTTTCATAAAAGTACTTTCTTAAAAGTGCTTTCGTAAAAGTACTTTCTTAAATGTGCTTTCTCAAAAGTGCTTTCTTAAACGTTGTTTTATAAAAGTGCTTTCATAGAACTACTTTTATAAAGTTCAACTAGGGATAATTTTATAAGTGGTATTTTAAAATTCAACTAGGGATAATTTTGAAAGAAAAAAATTGAATAAGTGCTTATTGTATAAGCACTTGAAAAGAAAGCTAGAAATTTGAGATTAAAAAATAAGCCCTTATTTTTAAAATAAGAATTTATTTTGAGCTTATTTCCCAAATACCAATAAGTGCTTAATGGCCCAAATAAGCACTTATTTTGATTAAGCACTCCCAGACATGGCCTTAGCTTTATCAGGTAGACCTAACTCATTGACAGCTCTAGACTTGCTTAGATGAAAGTTTATCTATAGAAAACCTCTAATAAGTATAGGACACTAAGAGAAATATTTTGAGAATGTGTGATATTGGTACAATACCCAACTGACTTGTTAGAACATGTAACCTTTTTGCTTTATTAATGATATTGGGCTTATTAAAAAGAAAAAAAAAAAAGATCCTATATCAGGCATTGGTTACTGGGAAACAAACTATATTTGCAATAACAACACCCCTCTATATTTTTTACCCCAAACTTTAATCCAGCTGGAGGGGCAGCCATCTTAAAATTTTATTAATCAACCAACACCAAAAGGACATGAAAATACAAGGAAAGATGTAGCCCACCTTGTCCCAAAGCCCTACAAAAATCACACTTTCTATCCCTCTCCACCCAAAGCCCCTCTATTCCACTTAATCCTTTAAACCTAAGTTCTGAAAATAGCTAGGCTCATCCATTCATTCAAACTGAAGTAATTGTGGGTAAATTGAACTCTTGGTAGGTTGAGATAAGTGGACATGAAATAGGCAATAAAATAGGGAGAGAAATTAATCGAGATTATTTTTGTGACAAAAATTACTTAATAGAGTAGACTAGTAGTCTAGATTAAATTAATCATTTTATTCCCTCTCATTAAGTCTTATATTTAAGGTATCAACTACCACTTCCTATCTATTAAAAAAAATATCATTACCTCTTTATTCAACCCTATATTTAAGGAATATTAAATAGATGAGCCTTATGGAATTTTTCTTGGCTAAAAAACCCTATTATTGAATTTAGTCCTTCTCTAACCTTCAGTGCATAAAATGTAATTTGAACTACTACTTTTAATTTCTTTCAATTCATTCTTATAAAGTCCTATATTTAATATGTTATCCCTAATTCTCTCTTATTAAATCCTATATTTAAGGTATTTTTATTTCTCATCAATAAATTTTATTAAATAAATATATATCCAATAATTTTAGTAATAAAAATATAAAATTATGGACACATCTCTATTAATATTACACATTCATCATATTAAACAAAGATAAGCATGATAAGTATGAAGCATTTTTATTGATAATTGAAAACCATTTTAGAAACAAAACCATTGTCAAGATTAGTTTTGTCATTAAAAAATATAAATGGCTGACAAAATGTATGTATTTTATATATCTATATCCATGTCTATACTACTATTAAAAGTGGGAATAAGATCTACATTTTGAACCTTCTTCTTTTGATAGGGTGTAGGGTGCTACACAAGATGGGGGAAGCACATCCCCCAAAATCATAAAATAAGAGCTAACAAAAAAGGGAGATTGATTACATCCACTAGCAAGTCATTAAAGGCTTCTGGAGCTAATAATCAGTCTGCCACTTGATTTGCCTCACAAAACACACGAGTGTTGAACACCAAGATCCAATAGCAAGTTTACACATAAACACTAATCAATGATAGTTTTCAGCATCCATGGTGGGTCTGTTTTTTCTACAAAGACAATCAATGACAAGCTTGAATTCGCTTTCAATTATTATAGGTTTATCCTTGAAATTAACTACAAGGTTGTGGGCCTCCCAAGCAGCCCAATGTTTCAACTAGAGCTGCTTTGATTTCTTATTTTTTGCTGCAGATATTTAGAATTAGGCTTTTGATTTGTTTGGGTGCAGATGGAACTTACCGAGGTAAATTTGTTTTTTATTTTATTTATCTTTGGATAGCCTACGAAAAGAGGGAGAACTATGTTAAAATGTATCAGAGCAGCCCTC